AGAGTCTGTGTACACTCTATAGATATCTATGCTTTTTCTTTCCTTTCACCCCAGAAGATTCTAAAAACACCCAATTTCTTTACATAATTCCCTTGTCCAACTCCTCTATTTTTTTTCTCTCCTACTGTATCCCTCATTTTGTGATGACCTTCAGTTATTCCTTCTTCCTTAGTACTAACTGCAAATCTATCACTTTCAAATTCTCACTTCTCAGCTATTTTCTTATCCTCATACTTTCAGCAAATGGCATGAGGGCCTTAACTTTGTTCCCCACATATTCTCACATACTATAGTCCTGAAATGAGGGCAAGTAGAATGCAGCATAGACACTTCCTTCTCCACACATTTGGTATCTGTTTCTTTTTGAAACTGCCCTCTCTATGTCTTTATTACATACTTCAGTTTAGCTCTGCCTCTTTCTCTAAAATAGTTCCGTCTCTGTAAAAGTCTCTTGGGTTCTCTTAGCAATTTAGAAGATGTATTTGAAGACTTCAGAACCTTTAGAAAGGCTAGTTGTTTTCACTACTATCATTTCTATTCTTACTGTTTCTGCCAGTGTTCCACTCATGCTTAATAAACAATGGATGAATTTCCTTTATACCACAAGGTGTTGTCTTCTATTATGTATTTCCTATTTCTGCTCTCTCAGAAAGCTTTCTCCAGAAAGCTTCTCATTTAAACAACCACTGAAAAAAAAACTGTCCTCATTTAAACAACCACTGAAACATGGAAAGTGAAAACAAGCACATTCATTCTATGTTCGTGCTGCAGGGACAGGACATACTGAAGAGAAAAAGAAAAAAAAAGAACAGATTCTTATTTTGAATTCACCAGAGAATTTTTTCTTAAGTCCCCATCACACTTGGGCAAATCCACCGAAGCAAACAGAGCTGACAAATGTCACTAAAGGAAAAATGTAGCTATGATAGTATTTCCATTGATGCTGCATAAGATAACAATATAACGTAACAATCCAGTTAAATTCTTAGTGCCATTTGGTTATTGCTCAAGGCTGGGAATTAGAATCAAAAATAAACAAGCAGATTGTTACTTTAGAAATTAGCCTAATTCATTCAAAGGACAATGGACAGACAGCTCACACTCCATTTATTTTTGCCTGATTGCTTCTGTCTGGTAAAACTCTATGGCATATATGTTCTGACAGCTCTCTTTTTTTATTCTTTGATCAAGAAAATACCTTGCCTGTATCCCTGCTCCTGACATTTAGTCTATGGGATTGTTGCCTCTTAACCTGGAAAGCCAAGCATCTTAAAACAAATTTCCCCTATCACCTCAGCCATTTGCATTCCTAATCTCAACACAAGTCTTTTGACACTGAAAGCTTTTCCCTCTCTCATACTTCCCCTAAAAATCTTCTGGAAGATTTTCTTAAATTGTGTGGCACTCATAAYAATCTCTGTCGCCCAGCCTCTTACAAATACCTTCACACTTTCTAGCTTTGATTTCTGTGGTATTGCCAAGTCCCACTACCCTGAATCCAATTGCCAGTAAAAGGCTTTAACATATAAAGACATCCTTTTCTTGGTTGCAGGGCACCCTGGCCACATCACTTTCAATCTCACACATCTCCAGTAGATCTTCTTACACCTGGATTAATAAAAAAAAAAAAAATCCACTTTCTTTTAAAAATCTCCATGGATTTTCTCCAGCATTTGAGCTCTTCATTTTCTACATTTTAGGAAAGTAATAAATTAAAGCGGGAGAAAAGACATTTGTTTACTCTCATTAACACACTCAAAGATGCTAAAATCCACTAACATTTAGATACTTTTTTTTTTAATATGACAATTTTGTTGTGGTTGTTGTTRTTTCTCTGTATCAGGCTCCCTCTCTATCAAGGACCATAATTTCAGCACAATTATATAAAAGTCTTCCATTCCATAGCCCCTACTATCTGGAATGGCTTACCAATACCTTTCCAGATACCCTGTCATTCAGATATATACCCTTGAAATATCACACACAAGGGGAAATAAACTGGGTCTTTTTACCCTCTTGTTTCATTTCTGAATATTTTTATTTCTTTTAATTTACCTTGGTAAACCTGTCAGATCATTATTATCCAAATGCTTTGTACTATATTTTTACTATATTAAAACTATATACGTTTTCCTATGCTATCTTCTCTTAACTTATTGTGAAACATAGTCACTGAAGAGGAGGGAAATCATACACAGGCATCAGAGAAAAATGTGATCCTATTGTACTTTGAAGCAGGGCAAGCAGGCTGTGGCTAAAAGCAAACTCTTAAAGGAAGAGTGTTTCAGAGACAAAGATGAAGAGTGAATAAATAACAGATAAAAAGAGAAGCAGACAGAATATTACTCAATGCATCTCTAAGAAAACGCCAGAAGATTAGAAAGGATTTCATGGATCAGGAGCTGAAAAAGCTTGTCATTCTCCAGCTTTTTCTGTTTCCCCAAGCCCTCCATTCCCCTCCCTGTCTATGCAAGAATGTAAGCGCGCAAAGTGTCTATCTCTGTGTGTATAATAATAATAAAAAGCTAAACTAAAGTGAAAGGCTGCTGAGGGGATTGAAGGGAGGGGGGCATGGGTAAGACAGGCCATGTGCTCCAGGAACCAAGGCCGTGCTAGCATGAGCTGTCACTTTGAATCAAGGGCAGCTCATCTCAAGTTTACTATTAATGATTTCAGGGAAGAGCAAGAAAATGCACATACACACACACAGAGAGTCCAGCCACAATAGCCATGTAGGACACACTGCTGCCTCAAAAAACTGGCCTCCCGAGACTGCTTCAGTGCACAACAGACCACCTCCACATACCCAGAGGGAGCAGRAGGGGTCATAGAAGAGGATAGAAAAGTCAAGCAGTAGCAAAAGAAGAGGGTAGATTTGCTGATAACAGGRCAGGAGGAGGAAGTAGTACCCCAGATTAAATCAGCTCATACCTAGATGAAGGAGGCTGAGATGAGAAGCACAGGGAAAGAGATTTCGTTAGGATGTTAAAAAGAAGACATGACTATTTCTAGCCAAAGACAAAGAATTTCCCTGGAATTATCCCATGAATTACCATAGAAATTACTCCACTATATATCTTACTGTAAACTAAACTATAGCAGCCACTTGTGGAGAGCCTCCTACAGAACCAGGTATCCTACCCATGGCCTGCTAATCAATGTATCTCAGATACACTTCCCCGTTACAAAGGGAAGAAACATCTTTTGTCAACGCCCCAGCATCTGCTAACAAAAGGAAATCACTTGCCATATGCTTTCTCTCCCTTTCCATAGCATAGAACAAAAAGAAGGATCCTGATCCAATCATAACATTTCCCTGTCATCAAACAGCACTGTTATTCCTACTTCCTTTCCAACGCCCTACACGCTACAGAATCCAGATTTTAGAGCTGGACTAGACCTGATGTTTCACCTCACATCTGACCTGGCAGTATTTTTCTTGAGCTTTTCTGAACCCCAGTTTTACAGCTTCTACAACTATAATGTGGAGTCTAATTAAGGTTTTGAGTTAAATGTTTATATTTCTGTAAATTTTTAGTGATATTTTCTTTCACTTAATTTAAATCATTACTCTTTCTCCTCTTCATCACTTTACTCTTCATTCTATCTTCGAGTAAGCCATGTAAAATTCCCCTCCATCCTGTGCTCTTTATACGTGCTTATAAAGAATAGAATATGCTCATTCCGTTATTGTGGATATCTAGACGAATTCTACTCATATAGGCACATGGATTTCTCTATCTGTCAAAGTAAGACAAGTTTTGTATAGAAAACTTATAGAAATTCAGAGTTTCCTTGATGCTGTTTTCCCTTTTCGCCCCAAATATCTGTATCCCTTCTGTATCGCCTTCTGTATCCCACCCATCTGACAGACTCTCCAGCCTTTAATCTCTCCTGTCTCTTGTCCGTCCGCAAACCATTAGTATTTTAGGACTATTTACTTAGTCATACCTGTCACTCAGTTCCTAGCCACCTGCATAACTTCATCTTCATTTGAACATCATCTTCAAAACTGTAAGACACGTTCTAATATTCCTGCCATGTGAAAGMTAAAAACCTCCTATTTCAAACTGATGGGAGAATAATATTACAAGATGCTTTATCAGAACAGTGAGGCYGAAAAGATGAGGATAAGGAAATACATAGCTTGTAGAAGAACTCAAGGACACTTTAGTAAAATAGTAATGTTGACTCTGCTTCCAGATCCTTTATCAAACTCCAGGCTAATGCCTCTCCACCAATTGTGAAAACTGTAATTTTAATATCCATTTATGACCAAAAGGCCTGTACTGTATTAGCATGTGTCACCTTCCACCTCCTTACTTTAGGCAAGGATGGACAGATTCAATGAATCACTCAGTACCACTTGTTAAAGGACCATGCAATTTGAATTGAAACAAAGAGGATGGAATATGTTGTACAGGGACAAGAGAAGATGGAAAAAAATAAACCCAAAATAACTGAGAGAATACAAAAACAAAGTAGAAAAGTAGAGAATTAGTGGGGAAAAATGCTAGAAAGAATGAGTCAAGTATGAGAACGCAAAAAAAGAGTAGGAGATAAAGAAGACAAAGAGAAGATAAAATGGTGAAAAAATGTTCTCTAAGAGCTGTGGCAAGCTGATACTCAAGCTCCCTCCCCCTCATCCAGCTCTGTTAGCATACCCTGTTTCACACAATGAAGCAACATGTTTTATCTGGTCCACAGAACATCTCCCATTGCTGCCTCCTGCAGGGAACCTTCTGTTTTAACAATTATCTCCCTGCACAATCACATTAGCTGCTAAACTCAGTTTTTCTGCCAAGAGAGGAAAGAATGAAGACCATCCAAAGGAAGGCAGAGAGAAGGGCAGAGTTGGAACCATGGAACTGGCAGGGCAAGATAGAAAAGGGCATAACATTCAAGGGAGAGCACAAGCTGCAGGATGTGAAAAACAAAAGCAAATTTTATGAGGCATAGAAATGTCAAAAACGGGACTCAGATAAAGGGGGTCTCCTCACCTGACTGGCTGGTGCTAACATTGATGGTTGCATAGTGGGGTGCTTCTGAACTCAACTCAGTCACCAAGTTGACAGCCTGGATCTCAAAGGTGTACTGCACACGGGCCAACAGGTTGGAGACTTGCACACGACTTTCCGTCAGGCCCACTTGACGTGGTTCAAATTGCACACTGTCCCCACAGCGCACACATGGCCCTGGAGACCCAGCTGGGCACACTTTGCAGATAACATTGAAGAAAACATCCTTGCGGCCGCCCAGGTCCTTGGGAAGGCGCCAGGTCAGAAGCACGTTGGAGCCGACAATTTCGTAGCTAAGATCTCGGGGAGCTGAGGGAATGCCTAGAAGACAGAAGGAAAGATCAAAATCCTATAAAARAATGGGACAGTGTTTTGAGGGAGAAGATGAAGCAGGGAGAAAAGAAGTTGCTACTGCTCCTCATTCTTGCTCTTTTCCATCTGTTTTTCAGAACAAAGAAAACATACTCTTCACTATACTGAACACAAAATTACAGACATGGAGAAGCAACTGTACTATCACATTTCAAAGACACAAAATGGACTAGAAGGTTCATTTGTTTCAAGGCCATGTTTTTTTCCATCAAAGAAATGCCAAGCTAGGGAATTTCCAAACCTTTCAAAGTTTTAATTTTGCACAAGCTTTGYAAAGACTTCTCCCTGAGGAGACCTCTCAAAGCGTCTCACCTGGCAGCTAGCACTCTTGAATTCTCTCAGACTTCAGTAAGTCTTGTTACATCTATTGCAAAAGCTAAGCAGTACTTTCCCTATGATTATTCCTGCCATCAGCCAGATTCCTGAGTGCCATCAGGAGTAGTAGATGAGAGCAGGAGAATTGCAATTCTGTGGGTCTAATGTTTGCCCTACTAGCACATGGGCAATGAAAAGAAGGAAGACTAGACAGAGGGGTGAAAAAATAGCATGGAGATGGGAAGGAGACAAAATACTGGAAGTTTAGAGAGAATGAAAGACTCATAAAAGGTAAAAAACAAACAAGCAAAAGAAAGCAGCAGTGTGGCACTGCTATACCTTGGCATGGAAACAAGGCAAAAGAGGTAAGAGGGCAGGAAGCAGAACTGGAAACATGAACCGGACACTTCCCTCCAGCRACTAAAAAGAAATCTAAGAATCCTCATTCTCACCATTCCTCTAATATCAGCAGGTACCTACAAAACCTACAGGCAAAGCCATTTCTCCATCTACTGCTGATCAGTGTAATGGATGACACCCTCCATTATTGCAAGTGGAGGAGGTCTTTGTGGGGGATCTCTCAGGYTGCAATTCACTTAATTCCTAGAGCAGTTGAGTATTTTCAATAGCTATAATTTCTTGGGGACTCTTTACTTCCAGTGTTGCTTAAAAAAAAAAAAAATTATACCGGAAAAAAATTGCACACAAAAGACTGTTAAAATGAAAAAGTAATGGTTAAAAGATCAAGCATTTAGTTGTTAGGGAACATGAGAATTAAGTTTGCCGTTGTGAGTATAACTTGGTAAACTCAACATTTGCACCATTATACAGTTTTGAATTCCACAATCATGCTAGGTTTTCCTGAGGATTTTTACAACAATAAATGCAAAGGATGAATGACTGCTGTGGAAGTAAATCACTACTGCGAAGTAAAGATATTACTACTTGCTCGATGATGCTGAAGATGGATTCTGTGCATCATATAAACCAAGGGATTACAGAAAGAAAAAATGATCATGTTTTTGAATTCATGAGCATCCAACTTTGCAGCCATAATGTGACTGTAAGTTGCTTTGAGAAGTAGATTATTTCTCTGTCATTTCCATAAACTTTACAGATGATGTTGAATACATTGTCTAGACTAGGATTTTGAGTACTAATTACTTACCCTATTACATTATCTAGGGTTAGTTATGATTGATTAAGTAAGGTTTTGAGAAAATACCTTTATTGTGAAGAAATCATAATTGATGAGAATCAAAGATACGATAATGAGAAAATTAATTATATTCCATAAATACAAATCAGAGAAGAATTTAAATTCTGTGCAGTAAATAAAGGTCTTCAAACCCTCAACAGCAAAGAAAATAAAATATTGGTCAACTACATTAATGTGTTCGTTGTGTTCATCCTGTATATGAAATGAAATATGAAATGTATATGAAATGTGCTCATCCTGTATATGAAATGAGATTAACATTTTGTGAGAAAATTAGTATGCTATTCTTTTATCAAAAGTTGCTTCTCATGCGTCCTTAAAATGGACTTTTTGTCCAAAGGTTGCACGAGCTATCTTAAATTTGGCCTTTTTCATTTTTAGTGTTTGATACTGCAACATCATAGTGTTTCTCAACGGAGTGCCAACAACATATCATCACTGTATATGCACATGAGAGCTTCAGACTTCTCATCTACATTTAGTAAGGATATATTCTGCAGTTAGCTGGAGATACAGAGGAAGGTTTTGCTCGCATTCTTCAAGGACTATGACAAAGGATGAGTCAAAACTCCCGTGTCAAACAGGTCCATTTCTTGTAATAAACCACCCTCCTCTATCCAAACACTTACCAGTGCAGGGAGTGTCAGAAGTGTCCGAAGCAGACCGATAATAGTGGTTCTGGCACACACATTCCCTAGAGCCAGGCACGGGAGCATGGCTGTGGGCAGGGCACGGTTGGCAGGGCTCATCTCCCACAGATACTTTAAAGGATCCAAGGGGGCAGGCTAAAGGGAAGGAAATGAGACAGGTAAGAGCAGGGCAGCCATTAATTCAAATTCCACAGGGAATGTAAACTTCTTTGCATTTAGCTCATGCTGCTGCCACTGCTGGGAGGAGGTCTTACACTGAGTAATTACTATAGGATTGATGACAGTATAGATGGCTCTAGGCTAGGGCATATATTGTTAAAATTTCAAAATATTTATTATTCTTATTATTATATCRAAGACAAAAGGTACTTAAGCTGATTCACTGGCAGATGGAAAAGGATCAATCCAGAGAAATAACTTGGTCAACCTGAAGTATTTGTCTCCTCTTTACTCATTAAAAATGTTAGTATTGGAGGAGGCAAGGAGCACAGTCATCTGATTTATGTCAAATCAGTCCTAACATTTACAGATGTTATTCACATCTCCTTCTCCCCACCCAGCAGAGGCACAAGAATACATATTTTTTTATGTTGCCTTAAGCAACTTCATTGATGAAGCTAATGGAAGCTACCACAGCAGATTTTGAAAAAACAAAGAGGCAGCATTCATCATTCCTGTTGTTTCCTCCGCATGCATCCTACGGGGAAACAAAGTGAATGAAATATACATTCTGCTTTCAGCAAGGATGTTGTGCTGAGTTCACCTCACATAACATGCTCTTAACTTTCACTGAAGTATTAGGATGAAATAAAGTTTTTATTTTAATAATAATAATAATAATAATGTTTTCTAAAGTTCTATGTGAACAGATACGGGTATTTTAGACTTCATGGACTAATGAGCTCAGGTGAAATTTCATTCATCGACTGATATTTGCTTAGTTATGTAGAAAAATTCCAGGGAAGGGGAAACTTTCAGAAAAAAACGGATGAGTGTCTGATTTTAGAACCATGGGAATGCTGCTTAACTCAGGAGAAGAACTCTTCTAGCGATTATCCCAAGCAGAGCAACTCAATGCACTGGGAACAGCAAAAAATTTACATATTGAAGAGAAATGTCTAAGAGAATAATATTGTACACAGATGTTAATATATAATAAATATGTATATAACGAATGCACCAAAGTGAACAAACAAATCAAGAACTGCAGAGCAAACACACCTAGTAGAACGCAAGCAGGCTTTGGGGAGAGAAAGTAAGCTTCCACCTCTGATGAAAACAATTATTTGGATATATTTCTAACTCAAATARGTGACCAAACAGCTGAGCAGTGATTGATTCATCATTCTTTGCAAATATATAATGAAATATATATAATGACATATAAACAGAGTAGCTTGCTTATCTATCCTTGTATGTGTTCATATCTCTTCACTCTGGAAACCAGCTCTAGAAGTTTTGCACACACTCTTACACTCAACACTCTGTCAACTTTCCTCGCAACCCCTTCCTCTAGACTGTACATTACCATGCATTTTGTTTCCCAAACTCAGTTTTACTTTGAAAATTTCAGTTGATGACAGAATAACATTTATCACAGTTTCAACRGTTTTAGGGCCATTTTCAATAAACCAGGTCAGACCTGCATGATAAAGAAAATAATTCACTTAGAACTCCTGCATCAAGCCCACGAATCTTATTTAGTTGCTAATGCTCCTGAAAGGAACAAAAACCGGGAGAAAAAAAAAAAAAAAAAAAAAAAAAAAAAAGAAATGCATCCAAGCCACTATTTCTCACAAAGAATAGTTGTTTGGGTGTTCATTAGTTTGTTCTGCACAGTCTGGAGCAAGCTCTTTCATCACATCTCACACATCAGACCATTAATCTGATCTAAAATCTGGCTGCAGTGACTTCCATATGTGCTGTGATCAGAAGCTCTGCGAAAGGTCAGATCATAACAAAGACTTGAATAATGGTAAATGATAGTCATCGGATAGATGGACAAGGATTGTTTTTAGCACTCAGAAAACAACTACATCCAGCTTGTTATACATTGGCAAATGGAAAGGAAAAATGCAAAATATGCATTTTCCTATATGCAAAACCAAGCAAAATAACAACAACCAAAAAAAAAAAAAAAAAGAAAAACACATGATTCTCTCCACTTTTTATTTTTAATTATATTCCTTTAATTCTCAAATTTCACAGTTTCTTAACAGGTGCAAATCTGGAATATCATTCTCATTTCTGGGTAAATGCACTGAAGCTAGGAATAATATGAATGGGTGGTTCTCAAATCAAGCACTGTAGAGAGTAACCTGCTCAAAATTTACCACCTTTTCAATGATCTCCTTTGTTTTTAGTATTAAACCTGGAAATACTGAACTGAATGTGAATATGCTTACTTCTTTCATGACATTTTATCACATCTATTTTTTTTCTTGTATCAGAGACCTTCTCAAGCTTTTGCCAACATGTGGAACTCTTGACACTTTCATTCTGCTTGCCAGACATTGGAGAATGCTTCTGTTTCTTCATTCAGGCCTAGAGCCTGACATCAAATCGGTCAATGACCTTGCTGCTAGCCACAGCAGCACACAAATGAGCAGATGATCACAATGCCCGCAGTTTGTGTGATGTTAAACAGATTTTTTTTAGAGGAAACAGACTTTTTCCCCATGGTATAAAAACATGTTCACTTGACAAATAATAATTTAGATAGATTCAATCCTAGTTTACAAATCACATGCAAATGAACAGGCTGATGGCACCACTGTCTCAGTGAAAAAAGCCAGTTTATCTGAGGCAGAGAAAGTGTATTACTTAAAAGGCCATGCAAGATTTCATTAGTGYTGTGGACAATCACTCCAAATTAACAGAAACATTCAACAACTGCTTACAAAAAAAAAAARAAAAATTGACCAACCAACGCAGCAAGAATACAAATTTATGCTTGGGAACATGCTGTCTGCTAATGCTATCTGCTCATACCACAGATGCTGTGGAATAGTACAGAGAATAGTACACTTCAGAAAAAAGTGCCCACATAGCAAATATAAAAAAACCCAAATATTTAAAATTATTCTTTTGGATTTGCCTGACTAAATCTRATTTCTGCATCCATGCACCATGCCTGCAATTAGATATTAATAGCTGTCTCACACAGTCAAAGACAGATTAACCACTGCCTCCCCTGCAACTGCACAGTGTGACACGCTCTTCAAGCAATCACAGCTATGTGGTTTCTTGAAATCTATCTCCTCTCTTAGTCTCTGAGGTAGCATTTGTTCCTGAATGCAGTCATGGAAATGTAATCTAGAGAAGGAGGAATCTGTTACTTAAGCTGAAAAGCAATGTCACCATGAAAACAAATAACTATTCAAATTTTTGAGTAAGAAGACTGATTGTATATATTAAAGCATCAGGTTCTGAGAAGGCCTTTCAATTAGTAGGTGATATTTTATCCTTAAAGTTCTTACCCCTGCAGCAGCTTTCTAAAATAAAAAGCAGAGAAATGCTTCAGCCCATAAGTAGTGTGTGAAGCAGACACACAAGCTGATCTATAAGCAGTCAGAATCCCTCTGCAGCTGAGTCAATTTGAAACAAAACAAAACAAAACAAAACAGGACAGCCCCTTTTCACCAACAAACACAATGTCATTAACATGTATCATGTCTTTTGGGAGGGGAGGTGGAATTCCTGTTCTGCAATTTTTGGCTGTCATGATGCTCCTCAGCAAGCAAAATCAAACAGATGAAAAAGGGGTTCAAAAAATGTAACTAAGTCATCACTTAGCTCTGTCATTTTTCCAAGGTGACACAAAATAAATTATTGAGTCAAGCACTATAATGGCTAAYTGGTCTTCTAACAAAGAATCTTAAATGTTAAGTTACTGATTAATACATAGAAAGAAAGGGATGCAATAGCAGACAAGCATAACAACATACAGTGATGTACATACCCACTTTGAACATTTTCACAGTAATCTGTGTATCTCTCTGATTTACAATGTTTAGTCTACTCTCTGGCCAGAAGACCAATAGTCACTAAAGCAGGGTTGAGATGTGCACAAATGTTTCAGAGATAGCACTGCCTTAAAATCAAAATGGGCAATCAACAYGTTTCAGAACTATGTTTTTATCGTTGTTCCTGTTGTTTATTTGTTTTGTTTTCATTTGATTTGATTTTCTTTCCAGCTACTCCAGCTTCAGGTGGCCATTAACTCTACAAGATTCTCTTCAGAGCAAGGGCTACTTTCACAATCAAGAAGTCAGGGGAGAAACAGAGGAAGGGAAAGAAAAAAGAGGAGGGGGAGTGTATGGTTTCTGGATTTTCTTTGTTTATTGTTTTTTAGCTTGTTTGTTTGTTTCTGGTATTTTAAGTGAACGAGGAGACAGTCATTATGTCACTAAAACCATCTCAGACTGATCCCTAAGATTAAGACASTAATTTGGAAATAATCAGAAACAACTGTTTCTGTTCTCACACTTGAAAAGGAGTTATGATCCTTTCTTCAGAAATTTTTGCACAGCACTAAGGATAGAACGAGGAGACTCAGGTAAAGTAAAATACCAAGAGTCCCTTTTATTTAATCTAGATAAAAATCTCCATTTCTGTCTCCAGAAGTTTGTTCAGATGATGTTATTAATCATTTGAATGCTTTTTAAAGAAACCATCATCAGTACCGATAGATGCTTCACAGTAAAGACATTTTTTGGCAAATTTTCCATAAACTTTTTAAATTTGCATTGTTATTCCCTGTCTACAATATGAGAGGCGAAAATGCTGAAGGTAACCCACAGAGACCTCCTAAACCCAGGCCTGCACCCTGCCCATTAACCTAGGTTTTGTTTGCCACACAGAACAAAGTCTCATATTGCAAACCACAAWCAGTGGAGATAACACTATTTGCCCTTTCTTGATTTAGATTCTGCCCATATTAAGTGGCTATAGACACCAGAGATCATATCAATGTTTGGGATCTGTGGTGTTTACATTAAATCAGACCTTAGAAGAAAGGAAATACATTTCGTACGAGATAAGTTGGACTAGGCCTAAGTCAGTATTTTTGCTGCTAATGCTAAATCAGAAGGAGGACTGTGGTCCTCTGTGGAGGATTCTGAACATWGGTTTTT